TTTCTATTCTCTTGCATTCAAATTTTTCGCATGTGAACTTAACTGGGTCCCAAGCAGTTCCAGCAGCATTGAAATAGTAGTTTACTTCAGTGTTGAAGTTTGAGAAACCAAAGTCTAAGTCAACTTTGTCTTTGCAAAGTCACAGAACTTGGCTCACCAGTTCCAGCTACAGTAATAGTGAATGGGTCTTGTGTTGGTGCAATGACTAAGTTATTTTTTGCTTGGAGTAAGTTCGATAGAAATTTTTCCTGCCCAGTTTGGCAAGTATCTTAAAAACCTGAAGATGAGGAAAGATGACAAAGGAACTCTAAGTTTCAGTTTTACTTTAGTACAGCATTTCCATCTGAACCAGAAAGGTTAACATAAACTCCTGGAACGTTAGGGTCAAGTCTTCTTATTTTCTCAATAGTTGCATACTGGTCTGTTTGTTCTCTAGCTTGTGGTTGTACTGAGTTTCTCAAAGCGAACCATTCATAGTTTGCCCATGTTACTGTTTGAACTAAGTCAGAGTTAGAATATATCTTATATCCCATGAAAACTTCTGGAGCATATTGGTATCCGACATAGAAAATTCCATTGCAACCTTTCTTGTCAGACAACTTGGCAGAAGGTTTTATTTCAATGTCTTGTTCCACGTATAAGAAAGAGTTGTCAATAGAAATAATATGAAACCTGTCGCAAGCAATATCTACTGTTGTTGAAGAACCTTCTCCAAACTCACCTACGTTTCCATAAGAAACAGCAGTTGTATATTCGTAAGTTCCAGGAACTATTTCTGACCTTCTAATGGCATTGTCGCATTCGTTATACCATTCGGAAACATTTCCATTCATAGCATCCAAAACTGTTGGCGTTATATTCTGAGCGGCGTACATTTCATATGAGTAAAAATATAGAATAGTTGGATTTATATGTCATAATAGAACCCACGTGGACCAAGCTTTACTTTCTTCCTGACTGAGTTTTTAACTCTTCTTTTTCCTTCATTGCCCTCTGCTTGAAGTTGTTGCATCTTTGCATTATGTTCATCTAGTATGTTGCAAATTTCCCATGTCCTTTTTGCCTTTTGGCTCTGGTCGCCCATCTCAGGTAACCTATATCCTAGAAAGATTTTGTCATAGTCTGTATTTGAGTCTTCGCGTATTGTTTGCATGACTCTTTCCTGAGTTTCTGGTTCAAGCTCTTCAAACAGTGCCTGTCCATATGGAATTGCTCGTTTCCAAATATATGTTTTTGTAGCCATTCTGGTTTTCTTTCCATGTTACCAACTATATCTTTTGTGAATGGGAAAGCTTTTACCCAATCTTTCAGTCTTGCGTCGTTTATTTCTGTAGTTGGTTTTATTTTGTCAAGGAACATGTTTTTCAATACTAACATTTCATTTGGTACTGTCCATTTGAGTTTTCTTAAATATTCATCCTTCTCGATTCATGTCTGCAAAGTAAGTTTTTATGACATTTTAAACTTTTCGTTTGCAAGGTCATGTACAATAGGTTCTCTTCCTTCGCTCTCCCTAACTTTCTTTCTAAACTCTTCACCAAATATACCATCTCTATGGTTCTGTGTAGTTCTTTGAGATAAATGTTCTAGAACGTCAGGTGTTATATTTCCATCAGCCATGTTCATTTCATACTGGTCCAAAATATCTGCATGTTTCATATCTTTCAATGGCATTAAAGCCGCGCTGAAAATACCAGCTATATCTGGTTCACCATTCACTTCCATTGCGTCTACAACTTCTTGGAATTGTGGTTGTAAGTTTATGAACCACCTATCCGGGTTAGCTTTATGACCCCATCTCATTGTAGTTCCATCGTCTGCAGAAACAAAAGTAGGTTTGTTTCCATCTTGGTTAGGTTCTGAATGAACTTTAAACAATGTTTCATTTCTATATGTTTTCTTGAAATTTAACCTTTTATTTTCACCGAGTTCATCCGAAGATTGAACGTTAAATGCTCGTAAGTAAAAAGGGTTGTTGTATTTGTGTACATTTTTCTTTCAGTACCATTCTATGCTGAATATTTTCATCTGGTGTTGGAGTCTTTTGTATGTCGGCAAACATTTTTCGATATTCTTCTACTATGTCAGCCGAATTTTTTTTAGACTCTTGGAAATATTCCATATTCTCCGCATACTCTTGTTGAGGGTCAAGATTTTTCGGCTGTTCCAAATCTTCATCTAGTTCTGTGAAGTTAGTTTCCAAAGGAGTGACTTGTTCGTTTCCTTCAGGCTCTTCTAGCTGTTGTTGCTGAACTATTTCTTCCATGTTGTATCTGAACTTTCTTCCTGTGGAGTTTCTTGTACCTCATCTGCTGGCATTTCATATATTCCGAGACCGTTTTAACAATTTCCCTATCTACGTCATCCGCATTCATAAGCTTTTGTTCTTTCGTTCCGTCTCTATTTTTTACGCGTTTCATGACGAAAGTTGAATTGTCATTTAGCTCTGACATCAAATATCTCGGAGTAAATTCATCCATGTCATTTGGATGATATGCTATTAAATCATATCCCTTAGCGAGCTTGTATTTTCCAGGTTTGAGATTATATCCGTTTTGGTGCTGAGCCATAAAGCTAAATAGGTTCGGGTCAGTATTTCCATCCTTGAACTTTCCAATAGCTTCTTTATATCTGTCACTAAAGTCAACAGTATCTGGGAAACCACACTCTTCTTAAGCATTTTTAAGAATTCTTGGTTTCCTTGTTCTCTACTTCTTTTATGTCCTTGCTCTGTTTGTGGTTGTTGTGTGCAGGTTTTGAACTGTTGGTTGTGTGCAGTGTTTTGAACTGTTGGTTGTGTGCAGTGTTTGAACTGTTGTTGTTGTTGGTTTTGGTGTGCCCGTTGTCTGTGTCCATGTGACGATGTAAATGTTTTAGGTAGTCCTGGTGCAGGTGCTTCTCTTG